GTGACGCGTCACCGAGTCCCTGGGCGAGCGAGATTACCCCATTAGAAATTTCTCCTTACAAGAGTGGGTCGGGGTTCGATCCCGGGCGGTAGCTTTTTCTACTGCTGTTTTTAACCTACTGAGTGTGATGTCTCGTCTCCTAGGAAAGTATTCGATTAGCCGTCTACAGTTTGCTATTAATACCAATCACATGACTCTAGTGACATCTATCATTACCCCATTACTTCATTCTTCCGTTTATTCTACGTTATTGGCCGGTAATATAATGTCCGTATATGTTGATGCCACTACCAGCAATACAACCGTTACCACAACTACTACAACTACAACTTCATTAATACCTTATTGCCCTGTCAATCATTGTATCGATAACAAATGGTTTACGGAAGATAGTAAGAATAATTCGTGTATTTATCCCCACCCACAGGAACTAGGCCGATGCTGGGATGCTTATTGCGCTACTAACGTCAACAGGCCGTCGCTGCATATCAATGAGACTAACAACTACTTCATTAGTTATTGTAAATCATGGCAAACTATTGCTGGTAGACTATGTTATGCTAATGATACTCTAACTTGTCTATGTTCTACTTTTAATATAACTAGTCCTATTTATTCATCTAATGATATCATACCTGATGGCCACATACCTGGTATATATTGTGAATATCCAACCATTACTACTATTACTATAGTGCCTACTACTCCTCCTTTCTTTAATGATGATGATGCTCCGTCTAATACTGCTATTAATACCTATTGTCAAATAGTTATATCCATCCTCATTACTTGGTTATTGACATACTCTACGTTAAGCTTTGGATGACTCATATATTAACTTGTTCGTCTTTCCTTGGTAGTTGCTTATTAGCGGTGGTATTGATGGTAGTAGTTTTTTTTCTCGTTGCTTGTTAGTAACAGTCGAGTAATGATAGTCTTATTACAGGTGTGATAAGGCGTATTATTTGAATGTTATTTGAATTCTAGTATGTTTCGTAGTACACTATTGTTGATGTAGTGTTGTGAGGAGGTAGAGGCGGAGGCGGCGGTATGTACTAAACATTGTATATAGGGTTATCCTCTCAGCTGTCTCCCAATATTAAAGATGAGGTTTGCAGAAGGGACAATAGATAATGAGGAGACTCATCATAAACTCATTAAGAAGAAGTCGACAGCTGGTAAGGGATTAACAGCTTCTTTACTGAAGATGCAGAAAACCAGGAGTACTCTAATATAACACCTTAATACAATTTAATGCAACTCTTGTCTTGCAGATATAATGCAAATTTTCAAGAAATATATCCATCACAGAAGTAATGGTAGTGATGATATAACTCGGGAACAAGTGAGCAGGCTAATCATATATCAATGATAATAATAATAATCATCATCATCCTTCTCCTCTTCTATAGGGTTTATTGGCATTGAAGGATCTCGGCTTACTTGGATTATCATCAGCTGATATTAACGCAGTATTTAATAAGGCAAACGGGAACAAGAAGAATCCTAGCGTAACCCTCTCTATACAAATGTTCATACCCTTTGCTGGTATTGATATTGTATTGAATAAAGTAATGACTATTATGAGTATTATCGTATTAGTATTATAATTATTAGATGCATTGGCCAAGTGATGATGATCTACCACATCATCTACATCAAATTCAAGAGGTAGTAATATTATCACATAAGGATACCATAATAATAATAATTTAGGGATTGATGGAGATAGTATTGATATTCCGTGAAATAGATGCCGATGATTCGGGTGAAATAGATGCATCAGAGTTGAGGACAGCTCTATGTAATACCGCTGGTATGTCATCACAGAATGAACTAACCAATGTAATAATAATAACAACAATAATGATAACTAGCATCATCATGCTACTCTAATAATAGGCCCGATTCGCTGAGATGGATATCGATTCGGATAAGACAGTGTCAATTACTGAGTTTGTGAGGTAATATAAGTTAACATAAATCAAGTTCAACAACAACAATAAGAAGGAGAATAAACCACTTTATCATCTTAGAGCATTCTTGTTCTGGTCTGGCTCATTTGAAGAAGATGACGACGACGATGCTGATGAGTGAGATGAGTACTACCCGGTGGTGTATACACACTACTATTAACCTATCATAACCTTAATCACTGATGTTCATTTAAATCTCATTGTGCTACTACTGTGCGTCATACTAATACTTCTTGAGTCACTAGTCACTTGTAACATTAGTAGTGTTTACCATCATATTTTAATAGTATATGATATTAATAACATAAACATCTTCATCGTTATATGACTAGTTACTATCTGTACTTACAGTAAATAGGTGTAACAGATTAGATATAATAAGCCCTTCTTTATCCCCAACCAATGATATCATATAATAAGCCCTTCATTATCCCCAACCAATGA